CACACAGTTTCTCCTAAAACATAACCTCCTTAATGTAGGTAAAAACACAACCCACACAAACAGCTGAGTTTTACCTCTGTTTGGTGTTCCTGGAGGCTCTCTCTTCACATTAACGTTGCGGGGAGTGCAGGCCTCACCAGGCTGGAGATGAGTAGGTGACTGAAGTCTGAGCTGGAGGGAAGGGGAGTGGAGCTGAGGGGACGGGGAATGCAGCTGGGGAACCGACTGAGGCTGGGACAAGGGGGACTGGAGATGAGGTACTGGGGACTGGAGCGGAGCTGGGAGTTGTGTGGATGGAGAATGTAGAGGGCCTCCTCCACCATTTACTGAGTCTTCACTGCCTTGTTTGGCCGTGAGTGGACCTCTGAGGCCAGGCAGAAGCTGGTTAGGAGGGTCCTTATCAGCAGCTCCAACAGATATCTAAGGGCAGGATGCAGAGAGAACAGAGCAATACTGTAAAAATGTGGTAAAAAGGGAACAGGGTGGGAAAATAAAACAGGAATAGAAAAGGTCAGTAAAGTGTAAAGGTTGGGCTGCGTGACAGACTGACACTGGAGACAAAGTCCAAGAAAAAAAACATTCAACTAAAGCTCCCTAAAGTACGGAAGAGGATTAGGGCCACTGAGAAAAAAAAAAAAAGTTAACTGATTTTTAAATTTTATTTCAGTTTAGTATGGGGAAAAAAAGTCAGAATTCTGACTTTTTTCTCAGATTTCTGCCTTTTTCCAAAAATTTCTGACTTTAATCTCAGAATTCTGACTTTTTTTCTCAGAATTCTGACTTTTTTCTCAGAATTCTGACAGATAAACATGTTAGCATCAAGCCATAGCCATGTCTGTTTTAGAGACTAGCTCTCTTGTTTTAATGACCTTCTGCTCCTTCGGGCACGTAAAAAGTTGCCTAATTCCGTAATTTTCCACCAATGTGTCACTGGCCCTCTCAAACAACTCACATCTTTGTCAGTAAAGCTGAGTGCTCCCACATCTCTACCTTCATGGTGCCCATCTACATTAAAATCCAAAATTCTGAGATTACAGTCAGAATTCTGAGAAAAAAGTCAGAATTCTGACTTTTCTCCAATACTAAATTGAAATCAAATTTTAAGATCGGTAACTAAATTAAACTAAAACTATAATAAAAAGTCACGTAGTGTTGTTTTGATAAATTGACACCAGTAAGTTTAGCTGATCTTTCCTATAATTTTAAAAACATAATGGCTCATTGATATTTAAAACCAAAAATGTAGTCCTCCTGACTTTCTATTAATAATGTGAGGAGGTTATAGCGTATTTTAAAAAAAGAAGTTGAGTGGAAGGAAAAAGTGTCTTTTGTGAGGGTGTGCATGGAATGTTGATGTAAACAGCGGTAAAAGGCCTGTACTTGTGTGGAGCTTTTTCAAGTGAGAGGACTTGACCAAAGTGCTTTAACACTACATTCAGCCATTCACCCATTCACACACACATTGTAGCCAATGCAGGGGTGGATTTAGGAAATTTGGGGCCCTAGGCAAAGACAGGCAGGGGAACCTCTGAACTGAGAAGACAACACATAAAACAGACCCATTATACAGATACAGAAATGCTAATAGAATAGACATACATTATTAGTTCTACGTTTTGTCCCTCTCTTCTTGTCGTTTTCCTCTCTATTTTTTTGCAAGCACTAAGCTCACTTAGCTGATTGCTCTTTCCTGTGTTTTCAAAAAGGCGACGGCAAAAGTAAATAACCCAGTCCTTCTTTTCACTGTAGACAGGCTATGATCTGCTTATCTGTTCTCCATTTTTCATTTGGATGAAATAATAGGTGCATGAATCATGACAGCAGACAAGATAGAGGAGAGCAGGAGGCGAGGTTTATATGTTGTCTCTAAAGTCTCCAGCAAAAGAAAAAACTCAGTGGATTTGGCACTAGGCGTTATTGTGTAATATAAGTACTAGAGGGGTCTGAAAAGTCGCTAAATACAGCGAAAAAAAGGCATGCAGGTGGCGCAGTGGTTAGAACGCACGACCCATGTATGGAGACGTTAAGGCCAATTTATGCCTCTGACGCTTAGCCTCCGCAACTGTCAAATCTGTCTCTGACTACGCAATCCTGACTACGTGTCGGACGGTGGCAAACCAACGTAGACCTCAAGCGGAATTGCGCAGACAAAAAACAGCTGTGATTGGTCCTTGGTACGCCTNCGTTATTGTGTAATATAAGTACTAGAGGGGTCTGAAAAGTCGCTAAATACAGCGAAAAAAAGGCATGCAGGTGGCGCAGTGGTTAGAACGCACGAGTGTCGCTGGTTATTCTTAAGGCCAATTCATGTTTCTGACGCATAACCTCTGCAAGCTTCAAATGTGTCTCTCTGAAAAAAATCCTGACTACGTGTCGGACGGTGGCAAACCAACGTAGACCTCAAGCGGAATTGCGCAGACAAAAAACAGCTGTGATTGGTCCTTGGTACGCCTTTCCGGCTGTCTGTGTGGTCGTCCTTCTGGATTCGGTGCCGGGGCGCGCCATTTTTGCAAACCGAGGAACAACTACAATGGACAACCTACGCTTCCTCCTTTGTCTTTTATGCCAACTCCAATAACAGAACCGGTTCCTCTTTGATGTCTAGCAATTCTAGATCCATCTCCGTGACATCTTGCGGATGCACCACTGTTGTTTTGGAAGATAAACACTCTCGCCGGCACCATCGAAGTTCTCGTGACCATTTGGCAAAGTTCTTGCGAGTTGTCGAATACGCTCCCCCTTGCGCTTTGGCGGGAAACTGCTGTGCGTCCCTAGAAATTCCAGACCGACGGTTCAGAAGCATACCAGCAAAACTGGTTCGCCACCAGACCCAAGCGACATTTGACGAGTGTGGTTTTTGCGACACACACATCAAATAGCGACAAAATCGCTAATTTGTCAACACGGCTCTTTGCACTGTTTGTTTTCAAATGGTTTTCTGCTTTCTGTTTGGACCTTTCTGAACATGTGCGGCAAATGGACTGATCCAATGTGGTTGACACTGAAGGGGGGGTGTTGAGACACACATAATATTATAAGCTTTCTGATGGCATTTTAGCAAAAGGATTTTTATCAAAAACATAATTAATGTGCACAAATAAGGAATAGCTATATTAACCATACATGTAAACAGAGTTTTATGGGGCCCCCAGCAGGAATTTGGGTCCCTAGGCAGCTGCCTAGTATTGCCTAATGGTAAATCCCCCCCTGAGCCAAAGCTGCCCTGGAGCTCACTGACAGAAGGAGGTTGAAATTCAGAGATAAAACCTGAGCATTTAAAATACATTTTAACTTTTCTGTAATGTGAAAGAAATTTAAACTTCAACAGAAAAGTTCAACTCAGGCTTAAACGGTACAACTGTTTTTTGTTGTACCGTTTAAGCCTCCTCATAAAAGACGCACATTAAGAATAGAAGAAGAAGAATGTCCTGGTTTGAATGAATCAGAGTTTAAATTTGGGGTGTAGTGTGAAAAGCTGCTGTGTACCGTGGAGTCTCTGCTGTCTCTGCGGTTCTCCCCCAGAGGACTTGATTTAGGGCTGATGCAAGCCGAGCCGCTCGTTAGTTTGGACGTCCCTCCGGCTGGGACGGACGAACCGGAACAAGTCAGGCCCTCGCTGCTGGCTCTCTTCTCCACCTTCACTCGAACCGTCTGAAGGCTCAAGGCCGACGGAGGTGGAAGGTCTCCCAAGTCCTTTAAAAAAACACATTTGGTTAGAATCCCTTTTTTTTCTGAAATGGGAGTAAAATATACACGTGGCAGCAAACAGACTGACAATCACCTTTTCGTCAGTATCCAGAAGAAATCGCAGTAACTGGTGGTCCCGCGGCTCTCTGGGATTGGGCTTGTGGGGCGCTGTGCCTGGAGCCGGACTGGCAGGCGGCTCCTTCTTGATCTCTACTTCATTTTTATTTCCTCCGACCTCGGACGCGGCGGCGGCGGTGTCGTTTGGACTGCTGTCCTGGAGCAGCCTGTGCAGAATCTTGTGGCGCTCCGTGAGACTGCTGTGGGAAGCGGGACAATGAAGACCCAGGGAGGGGTGAGGAGGATGAGGTGATGAGTTGTTGTTGGATTCCACTCCTGAAACACTGCTGTCCAGGAGCTGGTTGAGTCTGGAGTTCCCCAGCTGTGAGGCAGGAGGTAGGGGGGCTTTAGCAGAGTCCTCTCCCCCATCCCCCGCTCCAGTTTGGGGCTTTGCCGACTGTGGTCGAGTGGAGGAGCCAGTGGGCAAACTGGCTTGTCTCTGAAGTCCAGGCGAGGACAGGGGGAAAGACCCTGCTGACCCACCGTTTACCCCACTATTACTATCGCCGGCAGAATGCTGCCTGTTGAGGCTGCCGCCGCTACTGGCTGCCCCCGAAGGCGACTGGAGGCCCGGCGTGGAGGGCGAGAAGGGGTTCCCCGGTACTCGAGGGCTTCCCCCTAACCCAGGACTGGCATGTGGCATCCTGGGTGACATAAAAGAGGTAGAGGAGGCTGTGTGTGGACTGCTGAGAGCAGAGGGACTGTTGACCTCTGGGGGGCAGTTCGTCCGATTGGGCGTCAGGTAGCCTGTTGGTGTGGAGGGGTTGTGTCCGAGGGAGGAGGCGTTGTTGTTGTTGGTATGAAGGACAGAGCCTTGGCTTGAGTTACTGCCAGGGGGAAGCGAGGGGGGCCGGGTGGGGGTGTGAGCAATACTGCTGGGGGTCAGTGGAAGGCTGGGGTTAGTGTTTTCCTGAGAGCTAGCAGTGATGTGTTCCCTGAAGGAGAGGGACAATAAGTTTGACTCCAACGGAACATAAAAATTCACATATCTAAAACATATGGAAAAGTTTGGGATAAATCTACATTTTAAAACCGTCACAGAACTATTTATATATATAATCATTTCTGATACAAAGACTTGAGGCACACTTTGAGATTTTATGTAAGAGAAAAACAAAGTAACTGTGAAGTAGGGCTGCAACTAAAGATTCTTTTGCAAATCGATTAATCTATTGATTAATGGATTTTTAATCGGATAGACAAAGGGTTCCTGAAAGAAGACTTTTTACGTAAGTAAACCAGGTGAAACTCAAACATTGAGGAGTTCTAGACAGAGCATATATTTTTCATCCTAAATGCAAAATTTTAAAACAATTTTTATATAATTGCTGCTTTAAGTGTGTCGCTCTGTCAGCTAACAGCATGTGTAGAGTCCCTATACTCCATTTAAAAACGTATCGTTTACTAAATTAGTTATCTTAATAATCGATTAATCTGATGACCTGTTTCAGCCCTACTTTGAAGAAAAAAAAGGCTGACAGGCGTTTAAGATTGTCGCCTAAACCCCTTTAGCTCTGTCTGCAGGCTTGGAGGACTTCATCCAATGGAAGGTTGACAAATTTTCTTCAAGATTGCCCTAAGTTGAGCTCTATCTATTTTTACCCCCGTTCTGACGCCGATAAAGAAAAGCATCTCCACAGCATGACACTACCACCACCGTGTTTTGAAATGCGGAGAAGCGAAGCTACATTTTTAACCCATCTGAGCAGAGCATCTTCTTCTGTCCTCTTCATGGCTCCTGACACAATTTAATCAGAAACCCTACAGGCTTTTTTTTTCTTAAAAAAAAAAAGCATGTTGCATTTACCAGATTTAGTTTTTTTTATTTAAAAAAACTGAAAATAAAGATTTATTCCTGAAGTTCAAAGTGTGCAGCATGTTGTTTAAAACAAAGACCAAAAACACCAACAATTTCAAGAAAATACTAAAAACTTTTGTGTGTTTTAACTGCATATATTAAAGGTTTAGGTTTGGATCATCACATGGATACTGAACACAGTTTGTCTGCGAGTCACGGTACCTGTCAATAGTGTGAATGCCCATGATGAAGGGCTGTACGTCTGGTTTTGGTGGGCAGCAGAACTTGCAGCGTGTCTGTGCGCTGAGCGGCGTGCCGTCGCTTAATGTGAAATGGTACAGGGGGCTGACAGCAGTGCCGCGTGCCATCACTGATGAAGAGAGAGAATAGTGACAGCCAGTCGTTAAAAACAGTACATTTCTTTCCTTTTAAGGATAAACTTTAACAAACAAGCACATGATAAACATACCTCAAAACCATGAGGTAGGGATTATTTATTACATTAGATGTTAAAAGGTCAGAATATAGACTCCACAGATTACAGAGTTAATTATAGGGATGAAAAATGGAGAGAATCATCTTCTGTTGGCTAAATCAGTCTCTTAAATTAATTAACTTATCCTTACAACCTTTATCTATTTTGTTGTTCTTTACAGTCATGTGCTTTTGAACAGCTTTTATTTATAAGGTGACTCCTAAATACCTTTAAAAACAATAATCTTTAGTGTTTTTATCAACCGTTTAATCAACCATTCCAACTTTTGATTTTAAAACCAAACTGGCATCAAATATAAACTTTTTGTACGAAAGGATAAACTAAAAAAAAGGAGCATTTGGGTTCGATTTGTCAAAAGGAAACAATGGAGGGGATTTATTTCACACGGTGTCACTATGAACCTGAATGTCTGGCTTTAAATTCCTTCGAACTAGAGGCTCTGAAGTTTTGTAAAGGCGCAACAATGCCTAAATTCCTCAGTAAGAATTCAGCCAAAACCAAAGCTGGAGCAATGCAAGAACCAATGTACAAATTCAACTATGTATGGTTTCACAAAAGTAAAAGACAACAAGTTCTGTGTCTCTCAAAAAAAAAAAAAATAAGATTAATAAAAAAGTATGTTTAAAACTATCATTTTTCTATAAACCCATTGCTGTCATCTTCTATCAATATTGCAGTTTTCCTTTGCACTATGCACTAGCATGTAGATGATTCACTCTAGGTTTTCAGGTTTTTCATGATCTTAAAAGTTTGCTTTTCCAGAGTAAATTGTCAGGAATTTACTTGAACCCATCTTCTTATTAATGGTGACGATCTCCTTCATCCAGGTCATAGTCATTAAAAAAAAAAAATGTTAAAAAACCATCCACTGGACTTTGTGTCCAAGTTTGAAGACGTTTCGCTTCCCATCCAGGCAGCTTTTAAAATGGACACTTTGAATTGCAAAAGCTTCCTGGATGGTAAGCGAAGCATCTTCAAACTTGGAAAAAAAAGTCCAGTGGATTGTTTTTTTTTGTACTTTTTTTTTTTTTTTGGAACCACCATGTAACTGGTGGGAGAGATTCAGGGTTACTCCTGTTTTTCATGAGACTAAAATTGATTTGTATATTGTGTATGTATTGCAAATGCAACTAATTTCCCGACCCTATTTCAAATAAAAAATGTCAGGCGTCTGGTTAGTACAATAAGGACCTTTGTTTTTTTTGTTTTTTTTTTTAGTTTTGACGGCACTAGTGGCTCGTTTTTTCGACAGGAGCCTTACAGGAAACGGGGTATGAGTGAGGGAGAGGAGACATGTGGGAAAGGACCACAGGTCGGATTTGAACCTGGGTTGCTCTCTACTCTTCATTCAAACTCGATTGAAATGAACTGGAGCGTTTTTTATTTATTTTAGATATAAACATGTGATTCACCGCATGAAAACATATCGATGGCGAACCCCGGGTTACACTACGCTACTGAGGAGTCTTAAGCTAATGGCTACAGGTTGCTTGAGCCCGTCCTTTTGTTTTTTAAGAAGCATCTAGTCTACCTAATAATGACGTAGTTAATGACGTCTGCAAAACTTATGTACGTTCAACTGCCGCAGCTTAAAATGCCAAAAAGTTTATTTAACCTGAAATGAAAAAAGCCAATTGGTGATTTTATGTTTAATTATTCTGTGGATAAAGGAGCCGCTTGTCTGACAAACTGAATTTTCAAACTAAAATTCAATTAAATATATAGTTTGAGTTTCAAAGCATTAAAATCAATCCAGTGAAATTCTATTTCAAAGTAATGCATTTTAATTTAAATAACATTAATATAGATTCAGTTTCTGCCTCTGCACTTAAAGTAACAGAAAGACTAAATATTTCAATGAAAGTAAAAAATCTATTTAGACATTTGTATTTTTTAAGATTTTCTAGTATTTTCTAAAGGATGTTAAAAGGAAACATTTGCCTGCAGCTGGAGGATTCTGCATAAACTCATCTAAATAAAACATTAACCTTGACTAAAATCAAAAGGCACTAATTGAAAAAAAAATCTGATATTTTGCTGTGAATTTGTAGCCATTTTTCTAATGATGTTTATTCATCTTTAACATTTTTAATGGGAAACATTCAGCTTAAACCTTTTTGTCATAATCTGCAAATGAAGCCCAGTATTTCTAGAGAAGTAGTTCTGATTTAAAACGTTGCACCAGTTAATTATCTTGCTATATGAAAGCTGGACGGAGCTTTTATAAGAGGGAGTTCTTGGTGTTGTAGGGTTGCTTGTGTCTTCTCACCTTCATGCAGCAGCTTCTTGGCATGGGAGGGCTCTTTGCCCTGCGGCTGAAAAAACGCATAAATGCACTTCCTGACCAGGTCCTCCCAGCCAGGCCGGCCTGTCGCTCGCAAAGCGCTCGTTTCTATGGAGATGATCTTCCCTGGAATCGAAGCGTCACACAGAGATAAACACAAAAGATCAGTTTGAGCTGATTCCCCTCCGGTGATCTAGCTTTCACAGACGCTGTCCTCACAATGAGATCCGCATCAAACATTCAGGGAATTTTAATGTTAACAGATTTATTTTTAAGGTGTTTTTTTCTCTGCATAGAGCCAAAGCTGTGTTTGCTAGGTGGTAGGAAAATGTACTTAGAAATACAGAAATTGGCAACAAACCCTCAGAAACTAATGGCTTTTATAACATAATGCTAAAAGAATGTTTTGTTCAAAGCTCAAAAATGTATGGCCCATTTTTTTACGAATCTGACTCCTCTATAAGAACGACAGCATAAGAAGCTCAAAGGACAGTCCTGAAAACGCTTTCCCCTCCAAACATTCAGAGCTCCACCATCAATGGGTGATATAAGAAAGATTTACTCAGATCAGAAGGTTATACTGAAAGGTAAGTAAGTAAGTAAACTTTATTTCTATAGCACTTTTCACAGACCAGGGTCACAAAGTGCTGCACAGATTTATAAAAAGTTTATATAAATTAAAACAACATACAGAAACAGTAAACACAGTATTAAACTAAAAAACAAGTTTAAAAAAGTGGGTCTTTAGTTGTTTCTTAAAAGTGTCTATACAAACAAGAGAACAAATGGTACAAGGTAGCTCATTCCAGAGGCCAGGCGCCACAGCTTTAAAAGATCCGTCTCCTCGGGTCTTAAAAAAAAGGTAGGGGTGTAAATAATAATAGTTTTTTATCGATGCATCGATCCAACAGCCGACGATCCGATGCATCGACACGTCCGCAAGAGAATCGATTCATGTTTTTTTTCCCTCCGGTCTATTTTTATCCATTTGCTCCTGGGCGTAATTCTCCCTCCCGTGCTGCGGTGGCGCTAAACCTATTTTGCCCTCTTACCTCGCTTCCTGGTTATACTCTTACAGCAGTGTGTTGCAGTAAGCTTGACACAGACATTTTTAAATTATGCTCAATATTGAAGCGTGGTCTGTGCTACACGGTGTGAGTCTAGATACGGCCGAGGCAGCGAGTAAGTGGGGGCCAGTTTAGTCTGACGACGGAGGGACATGAGGGCCAAAAAGAGCAGAGATCCAGGTGGAAAAAGGGTCCCAGCGTTCTCGCGCACCTCGCTCTTCTAGAGGGTCAAACTTCACGAGTTGTTTTCCGCAATTTCGGTCATAAAAACAAAACAAGCCGGCCTCCTGTCTGCTGCACTGTTTGCGGTCAGCTACAATTTGGGAGAGGAGCAGCGGAGCGTCTGTGGAGGGGGCGGGGACGTCTGGAGCCGAGGTATTGCATTGCACTCATTGCACTGATTATGTGCAGTATTTTTACAGTATTTTTTGATGCAACTTTTCTACTTCTGTTATTTGCTGTTGTTTCTAAAAAAAATAAAAATAAAAATGCATAACGATATTACAGCTTTCATTGATTTATTTCAAACTTGAAACTTTGTTTAGCCTGTAAGGTGTAAAAAAAAACAAAAAAAAAACCATTAATCGAATGGAATTGTAGTGTATTCTTAAGTATTGAAAATAATCGAATCGTTGGGTCAGGAAATCAATACTGAATCGAATCGCCATGATGGATGTGATTTACACCCCTACTGAAAGGGAAAATCAGTATTTAGGCTAAAAAAAGCTGAGAGGCTTATAATGAAAGCTTTGAAGTGCCACAAGGACAGATCACTGCCGAGTTCAAGTGGAGAGAATGAGGGTCTCACTTTAGAGTAAACATCAGTGAAAAGTAAAGGTTAACTTGATTTTGAATGGCACAGTTAAAATGTAAACTAAATGTTTAAACTTGTTTAGTTGTGCGTTAAACTCAAGATAATACTTAACAAAAGAAAGTTGTCAAACTTCTAATGAGCAAATATGTAATTACATCCCGTTTACGCTATGGAAACTGGTTGTGCTTTACCTGTCGGGTCCTGCTTCGTGATAAAAGACTCCGTGCGTGGTATCCGACAGGCGATGCAGATCAGGCAGCTCTGCAGGTCTGAACAGACAAACAGACAGCTGAGTGTTTTGGTGTGTACACTTAAAAAGAGCAATAAAAAAAAATTAATCCTGTTTAAAAAAAAAAACAAAAAACTTTCTGTCATAGACCCAGAAACCAAGTGAGGGGTTATAATCCTGGATCTACAGACAGAAAGAAAGCAGGAAAACCTCCAAGGCCAGTTCTTATCAAAATGACTAAATACCCACAGAGCTGGACGGCCAAAAATCTGCAATGCAGAAACTGCATCATTCTAACTTATGAAGGCCACTCTAATGATAAAGACAAAAAAAAAACACAACCAAAAACATAGTATTGACATGTTTTTACCTTTAACCACGAGAATAAACAAAACAAAAATCTGTCCAAGTCCATTTTTGCTCCAAACCAATCATTTTCTAAAATTGGCTTCATTCCTAAGATAGTCAACATCAGACCACAGAGGAAATGTCTGAGTTATAGAACGCGTGTCCTGAATGTTTTTAAAGGCAGCAAATTCGAACTAAAACCCAAATATTTCAGACCAATAAGACTCAGATCGAGCTTCAATACTAAAATAATTGTCTCAAGAAGTCCTTGAATGCTCAAAAGGACAGGAATTTCGTATTTAACTGATGGCAAAACAAAACTAACACTCCTTCTCCTCGCCGTTCTCCTCAGGACTCACAAATGAAATCAGAGTAAACGCCTGTAAGCTCCAAGTAATAACTGTGTTTTATCGACGCACCTTCTTCCTCCTCGTGAACGGGCCGTGGCTGTGAGATGGTAAAACACTGCATGATCTCGTACTGCTGCCGGGCCTCCTGGTTCTCAGAGTCCGCCTCGTCCGGCGGTCTCTTCAGCATGCGACAGTTAAAGGTGTGGCTGTTCCTGCGGCCAGGTTCCTGCGGCCACGGGGCGCCGTTAACTGATAGAGAAGAAGAAGTGATTACTATCAACTACTCATCCATTCATCCATCCATCCATCAATTCATTCCAATTATGTGGGAATTTAAAAATAGGTTATAAAAATGGTTGTGACTCAAGAATTGGAGAGGAAGGTCACAGTATACCAACCTCTAAAAACTACTGCGTGGTGTAAAAAAAGCAAAAACAATACATAAATCCAAAGACTCATTTTCAAAAAAATGTCCTTACAGACACCATGAGCCTCCATTACTTTATTAATTTGCTGTTATGCTTGCATCACAGTATGATGCATAACTACAAAATCCTGTAATTTCAGGTAACAGCTATAAAAATAGTTGATTACCAGAGATTAGGCCTGTGCAAAAAATTTATAAAAATTTTCGGTTGTGATTTGCGATTTTAAAGAAAATGTAATTTTTCTTTTTTTTTTTTTTATAATGGTCTTTCTTTTGCTTTCTGTAACAGCAGTATTACTCTCAGGTTGCAATTTGGCAAGCGACAGCATCACTACAGGTGAATGAGAAGTTTGTTATTGAAAAGAAGTAAAATCCTCTATTGTTTGGAACAGCAGAGTTTTAAGATTTCCGGCGTGCGCCAAATGCGTTGCTTGTTGTGTTGCTGATGAGTTTTATAGCAACATCAGTGACAACTCTGACTGCTATGATTATGTGTCTTTTGATGCTTATCAGAACGCATTACTACCCAAAAACAAATTTAGTAGGAGGATGGGAGCAGGGGGTCTGTAAAATGAACGAGCTGCAGCCAAGTTAGCAGCAACGGCACTGAATAGTGACCTGTAAACATGAGCAACACGCAAGGTTCCCGGTGAGGGATGGGGGGTGAAATAACAAATGTATTTAGATGCGGTTGTATTAGATGAAATGGGGTTGTGTATTGAAAGGCAGATTTTAACTGTCAGAAAAGGTTCCCGGTCCAGATAGCCAACAAGTTAGCTGTTAAAGGGTTCCTACAGCATAAGGAAAGTTAAATTCAAGACTTTTTAATGCGCTTGAAATAAAAATTTTTCACAAGAAACACAAGAAAAACCTGCTTGCGACAACTTAACCCAAAGGTTTATTTTAACATAAACCACTGCACTAATGTTTCAAATGTTGAAAAGCTTCCCATACAGGAAGAAAGCTAAAAACACACAAATGACAGATATATTTTAACAATTATTTAACTGAATTCACAAACTTTGTTTTAGCAGGGAACAAAACAAATCAGTGTTAAAGCCACAACATAACCAGTGCTAAGACTTTTTTGCAGCTATTTTTCTTTGTATGGTTTTCTTAGTATGTTTGATTTGGTGATAAGTGGAGGCGTTGCAGAGACAAGGGTGGAACAAAACTGAGAAATACCGGCTGTTTCTAAGAAAGACTGATTTAATACATTTTAATACCAATTAAGGCCTTAGTTTTATTTTGAAGAATTCAATGCCTTTTAAGACTTTTTAAGGACCTGCAGGAACCCTGTTTTAACAGAAGTACGGCTGCCAGTAGCACAGCGTGGTTAATAATAGTGAAAATGCCAGAGGAACAAACACGCACTAACCAACAAACCTCAGCTAAGAAACTGCTAACTGTAGCGCAAATCTTTTGCGCAAAGCACCGCATGCGACAGGAAAGGAGCAGGGTCGCTTTGTGCATAGCAAAAGACATGGAGCCCCTTTGTACTTATTGCTTTGCTTGATAACTACAGAACCACTGAGACGTAATGAAAATTCTCAGGTTTAGGAAGATGATATCTAAAGTGTTTTAACGGCCGCAGCTGTGCTGGAGGGGAAACACAGCTGTTAGACCTTGCCGAGTGCTGCACCCACGACTCCAGTCTTATTGTCTCTTCTCAAGGTTGCTCTCTAAAGCTAAACAAAGTAAGTGGATTGCTATGAATCAATGTTTTGTTCCTTAATACCCCCCCCCCCCTTTTTTTATCTTTCTCTGCACAGTTTTCTTCAGACACATTTGCAGCTTGCAAACTTATTTCAACGTTTGACAAGCTTCAGATTGTCACGTTATTTACTACAATCCTCCCATCTTGAATCCCTGCCTAATGCCTGACAGTTCAAAGCCTCTGCCCCTCTGGTGAGGTCACTCACCTAGGCTTTTAGGGAGCAGATTACGGACAAAATCATTGTGGTCTCCCACGTGGAGGATGGTGTAGACGCTAGAGTTCATCAGCTCTTCCTGGGTGTATCCAAGGTAACCCATCACATTCTCAGAAACGAAGACAATGCGGCCCTCGTGGTTGACCACAAAGAAGAATCCATCGAGCGCCTTAGGGAGCAGGAGGTGGGAGGAGGATGAAAGAGAGAGAAAGTGTGATAAAACAGGCGTATTAGTCCAGCTGAGGGAAATCTGTGTACCTGAGTTACCTCTAGCAGCATGGGACCAAGCGCCTCTTTCTCTACCAGCCCCTGACTACTGGAGGACACGTCGCTTTTCTGCACGTCGTCATCTGGAGACAAAAGAGCTGCTTTCTCTGTCAGGAGGAAAAAAAAAATGTCTTTAAATGTTGACCCTGGTCATATATGCATTCAGAGTGGGCGTTTCCTCACCCTGCTCACGCCGCTTGATCTGCTGGATTTGGTCCACGGTGCTCTTGAGGATGTGGCACTTGTCTGGCTTAGCGCTCACACTGGCGATGTCGCCCATGTTGGACGACACCAGCTCAGCTAGCTCCTCGATGTAGCGACACTCCAGCTCCCTCCTTCGCTTCTCCCCACTAGAGCAAAGGAATTCACATTCTAGTGACAGACGCAGTGATCCAAACTCTTCATCTCAAAGCGTAGCTTTAGTTAGTAAAATACTTATATTTCTGAGTCACATTTTTGCGATTTGAATCAAAAGCTATTCAATTCTACACCGGTTTGTTAAGGTTGGACTAATCATACAAGAATCTGGACTACAGTAGTTCACTTTAAGATGTTGATTTCTTTGTTGATGACCCAGTTATGATCAGAGCTTTAGCTGTGAATAGGGATATCCCGATCCCATATCAATTATATTAATCGTTAATAATCAGATATCGGTCCAATATTAGACAAAAAAACTAATATTGGATTTTTTTTGATCAGTTTCTGTTACTAACTGGTTAATTTCGCAAGGGTCAGTTGTTTTCATACCTTTTGTTGTTTACTTTTGTTCCCTGTTTTATTAATCTGTTTTGCTCAAGTTTTACTGACATTACTAACCTTATATAGCGGCACAAACGAAAATGTTTTGCTGCACAAACGTTTGACACCAATTTTGTCTAATTTGAAGAAGGTGGGGGGGCTGGTTGACCTTTTGACCTTTACATTTTCATTAATATCGTCAAAGCCAAAGCAGCACAAACGACAATTTTTGCTGCACAAACCAGCACAAACAGAGCTGAGTTAATTGACACCCATTTCGTCTGATTTGAAGAAGGTGGGGGGGCTGGTTGACCTTTGATGACCTCTAGAAATATTTCTTTATATATTTAAAACGATAGCGGCACAAACGAAAAATTTTGCTGCACAAATGTAGCACAAACGTTTGACACTAATCTTGTCTGATTTGAAGAAGGGGGGGGGGCTGGGGGGCAACTTCACTCAGGTTAAAATTTATGCAAAAAAACACAAACAAAAAAATGAAAACACGTCTTTACAATATCTTTCGTATTGGATCCAGATACAGCATTTAAGTATTGATATTATTGACAATCCCTATTGCACTTATAAAAGAAGTATGTCCTTCGTACACAAAGGGAAAAAAAAATACTCAACACTTAAATGACTAGTGTTAATACAGGTACCCTTGAGTTGAATTTACTACCTTTTACTACCTCTACAATATTTTTACTACCAACATAACATTTTGGGGGGAGCGGTGGGTTCACAGCACTGACCCATGTATGATGATGGCCCATCTCTCAACAACAAACATAGTCCCACTAACTTACAGGTGTAACTAACTCAGACTTTATCTTGACTAGGACGACCTCAGCCAAGAAAACCTTTTGCTATGTCTGAGTCTGTGAGGACGTTTTGGAATAGCTGCCTGATGCCGTCATTTGAGGAGTCCGAGTAAAGCTTGGTTGCAGCGTTCAGACACCAGGAACCTCAGCTCTGCCTGCAGCTCCTGTTGTGCTGCTGGTAATACTGGTTTGACGCTGACGTGTGACGGCAATAATGTGCACGTAGCTGAGCTTGAGGTTGTAGTTAAACAGCTCTGGGTAGCAAAAAAAAACAAAAACAAAAAAACCAAACAGTAATCTGTTCCCTCTAGAAGTGAAGCCACTGGTGGTGAATTGTGAAAACTCTGTGGGATATAAAATCATCGTATAACTGGTCAGATTTATAGTTTATCTGTTCTTTTTGCAAGAAACCTCTCCGTTATCTTTGAAAGCTGGGTCATCAAGCAAAAGTTGTGAAAAGTTCCATCTTCCTATGGAGAGCTGTAAAATGACTTGTTGGTTCAAAATATGAAGCGGTTTAACCATCAATCTAGTCTATCAACATCAGCTCAGCTCCTGCCGTAATTACTTATAATTTTTATACAGATTTTACAGTTAAAGGTAAGAATATATTAAAGGGGTGACTGTGTACCGGATCTGCTCGGGTGGTCAGAGCTGACAAAATTACAATACGGAAATGCCACTCAGACAAACTGTATTCCACCCGTTGTAAACGAATCAAATCTCATCTGCAGTCTGAACTTATTATCATCAATATTTGCTATTATTTTACGTATCTGCGGCGACCTAAAGTAGCCAAAAGTAGAAAACAATCATTCTCGGTCTAGAAGGCATATCCTGCATGCTAAGACAGACTGAGCTCTGCCGTTTAACAAGGTTTTATTAAAATCTGAGGGCAGGAGAAATGGAACATCTTAAAAAAAAAAAACATAAAAAGGCTTTCGTGGAGCTTTTAGACAGAAAAAAAAAAATGTTATTCTACTTGTAATGAACGTTTATTGTTGACGACATGCCTTTAAAACTAGTATAACTATTAAGATGGGTAACTGACCAAGCTAAAAGAGGCTAACCAGTTAGCTTCTGAGCACAGCTATCTACAGCGCTACCCAGCTCTCCCCCTTTATACCACGGTCAAGCAGTTAGGCTACTTTTATTAAGTTTTCCGTGATTGATAAAAATCTGTTCATGGTGAACAGTCTTTAGTGCACGTGTAGTCGCTAAGACAACAAGTGCTACCGACTGGGCACATGTACAGCTGCATTATGTTATTATCGTTGTCTGGGCAACCACAAAGTTCAATGTCATCGCCAACCGAGCAGATCTGGTACCTATAACGGAAAATTTACATTTAAATCGCTGCCGTTCAATGGCCTTTATTTAAGTTCATTCAATTTACAACCCTGCAGAAATCCACTATCTTTCTTAAATGCTATACGTTTTAAGAATCGATTAGAGATCCATTTATTTAGCACCTTTACACCTTAAAACTCTGATCGGTTCTTAAGCATTTGAGCCACAGTCAAGTGTTGACAGATACCTTATTAATGAATAGATGTCTTAAATATTAAGATGTTATTTGTTGTGCGTGTGACATTTCTAGAGCAGGGTGAATTTATCTTATAAATTATGACAGTTGTAATTTTCACAAACACATTTTCTATAACATTTGCGTCTTGAATGTGTGTATTTATTTGCTTTTTATTGTCTTTTGTTCATCCTCAACCTACCATGGAACAACATATTTTAAAAAAATAAATTCTAGTGGTTAAATTTGGCATATTTACAAAAAAAGAAATTGAACTTCTGGATCCACAATCGAGAAATTAACTCTGCATTCTGACCCATCCCCTAGGGGAGCAGTGGGCTGCCATTGTGCAGCTCCCGGGGAGCAGTGTGGGGTTAAAGGGTCTTGCTCAGAGACCCAGAGTGCCGGCTGTGGGGTACTTGCAACCCTCTCAGAGCACAAGCACACTGCTCTAACCACCAGGCCAACACTCCCCTGTAATAAGATAAGATAATAATTGAACTTTATTGATCTCACATTGGAGAAATTTACCTCTGCATTTAATCCAACCCCTTGGGCAGCAGTGGGCTGCCATCGTGTGGCGCCCGGGGAGCAATCAGGGGTTAAGTGCCTTGCTCAGGATCCACGAGTAGAGACAGTTGGATTTTAACCAGGTACTTGCAACCTTCTCAGAGCACTGCTCTGACTACTAGGCTAACAATCCCCCAATGTGCTCATGTTGATCATAACGCACTGTTCCATTATTAAATAAACAGACAAACTATCAAAGCAAAAGGCTTAGGTTGGGTCCGACGATTTGTAATCTTGTTTTTTGAATGCAGAAACAAGCCAAATCAATAATAAACAAATACAAAAGCATGATAGTATGGTGCATTTGAACATTAAATGCATTTATTTTTCTCCAGATTAAACATTAATTTTTGTTTAAACAACAGAAGCTGTAATTTGGCAGCAGCTCAAACATCTACTCTCCCTGCAGGCAAAATGTACCCTAATTACTTAGTAATGAAGCTTTCAAAGCGCTGACTGTGAACGACAGGAAACAGGAGGAAGCAGCAGTGAAAAATGGGAAGCTGGTGACAGAGCAGGAGGATGTGCTCAGACAAGATTATCTTTAATAATTCACCCTCCTTCAACGAGACACACCAAGGGAACAGACAGCAAACTGCTGAGAGGGATAAATATTGGACGGCAGAAGATGGATGTCTGTTAGAACTGACATCGAGTAAATTAATCAATTAGAAATTTGAAAAGAAATGACTGAAAGGGAATTTCTAAGCAGCCGGGACAAAAATCACGGATTCCACATATGAGAATCTGTTGAGTATATTGTTTTGAAGAGATTCAGGTTTGATTTATATATTTACTTTTATCTGTTGAGCTAAAAGAAATGAGAGAGATTTACGATGGAGGTTAAGTGAAGAATAAATTTTTACATATGTAATAAATCTAATTATATTTAATCAGGAAACCCTGTTCAGATGTTTGTTTCTGAGGTATCTGTGATCCTTTTCGTAGTAAAAATGGAAATCGCTTAAAGTCGTAGGGAAGCGGCTGTTCCAACAGTTGCATTTCCGAATTCTTCAGAGTGGTGCACGACTTTACACGAGTGACTAAAGTGAATGTGATTGGTCAATTATTAAGGGGGCGGGATTGATGTGGCAGAAGGTTCACAAGCTTTTTGGTTGTGGCCGGCATCTTGCTAAGCAGTTAGCATCTTAGTGCTAGTAGGTTCCCAATGGGAAATTCCATTGGGACCAAGTAGCACTAAATCGGTAACTTAGAAACGACACTGTCAAGGAACGCTATGGACAGCGGAAACGTGCAAGAGGAGGAGAGTTTAGTGCCGGAGGTCGTGGATGAGTCTCATCCGTCTTATGTGTTTTATTTAGTGGAGGAAAGCGGGGACGAAGATGTTGTGGAAGAGGACGCCAGGGCGACAGAATCTTGGTTTGGTGTAGAAGGCTTCCAGCCGAACATCTTTGAGCCCTTGCCTCGCAACGCTGCCAGTTCTGTTAGCTCTACGCCCGCAGAAGACACAGACGTTCATCCCAGTGAACACTGGGACGTAAAGTAAATGATTTTTATTTCTTATATCAACCGTTGCGTATATTAGCTGCGACATATGAATCAAGGTGTTATAACCGAAAAAAATTTGACTGACAGATGACCGTATATGATTGGCTGAATTTAGGTGTACAAGCTGACGTATAACTAACTGGCTTGCATAAGATAAAAAAACAACACAGATTTTAAGACA